GGGTAGCCCACGGCGGGGGTCCGGAGGTGAAACCCCTACCCCGGCTTGGGCCCCGGGGATCCCCGCGTGACAACTCTTGTCGGACGTGCAGCACGTGACGACACGCGTGGGAATACGACGCTCGTGCAGAAACCTCTTCCGTGGACGGACTGAAGGGGCCGCCTGGAAAATATATTTTCCTGACCGTTGTGGATGTTCCTCGAGTGCGGGAGACACCATGATGCCGGCCGAAAACAATGACGCCGCCCGATGGAAGCCCACCACCAACAGTAGCCTTTGGGGGCCGGTGTTGGAGGGCGGGGATGTCCGTGCTAACACCGTTGGACCACATCTGGACCACCCTAGAACCAAAACTCTCCGTCCATGCATGTCTTCGCCACTCCGTGAATCACTGTTCCTTGAGCTCCAAGGGACCTCGTGAGGTCCCTTGGGGATAAGGAAATTTTGGCTGGGGCCACAAGGACCCCACAAAAATGTTTCCTTGTGGCATTTTCACATTTCTTTACATTTTCAATTTCGGTCCCAAGGACAGGTGGAAGGAGCTCTTCCTTGTGGATTTCACATCCCCGAGGAGTATCTAACAACGCCCATAGTCACGAATGCATCTGTCAGTGACCACTTTTATGGCCACACCCGCACGAATCTGTGGGCAAGTACATCCAAAAATAAGTAACGAAGTCCTTGTGTGAGTATGCCCTTACTTGGGTCGTCAATCTGTGCTCACCCTCAGCCTCCGTTATTGTGCTCATCCACCTCGCACGTTCTGTTATAACGGAGGCTGTCATAATAAGTAACCTGCAAGCCATTTGTACGGTTGGATGCAGTCATATCCAGATTTGCGGAAAGGAATAGAGTATACCAACGAGTCTAGGAACCCGTCTTCCCCCGAACATAAGGCACCCTGATTCTGAACGTGTAGAAGCCATTTTTCGGGTTAGATGCAGTCATAATGAGGGTGCGTTGTGTTAGGGGGATTTTTTTTTTTTTTTTTTTTGCAGAGTGAAAATCGAGATGCAATCTGATGAGCAGAATGAAATAATTCTGAATTACCTGGGGGCGCTCAGCTAAATGGTGATCATCTCAAGGTCGTTGACTCGTTGCCCTTTCAGAAAAAAGAAAAAAGAAGCTTAAAGGGTAGCAATTTGACTCAACTGAGGGAGTACTCACACTTGCATCATCTCAAATGTATCTAACATTCACGGCCATACCTGTATGTATCTGGCCTCAATTCCGTCCAGAATACGTAAAAAAGTCCTAGTGTGAGTACGCCCTGAGTGAGGGAAGCAGCAATGTCGTGGGCAAGAAGAAGGAGAAGAAGCATGGGCACGAAGAAGGAGAAGAAGCAGAAGACGAAGGTACGCAACGGCCAGATTGCTATTCACACGCAATAGTAAAATTCCTTTCTTTGTGAGCGTGTACACTGCTCAAAACCGTGCACCCGTTCCTCTACATGTTTCAACCGGCTGCGCTTCGGTCTCATCAGGAGGCTCGCCGAGCCGCCACATAGCCCTTCGCCTTTGGGCCCGCCGGACTCTACCACCCACGGAAGCAGCAATGTCCTGGGCAACTTTTCAGTCTAGATTCAGCAATAACGACCCTGCGTTCTACTCGGGGGAGGCGTTAGCAGCACCGTAGCACGTCGCAGATCAAGTGGGGACTGACCTTCCTTTTTTTTTTTTTTTTCCTGGCCGTCGATAGAGCAGATGATCGCTGAACCCCCAGTACAAAAAAATCGCCCCACATTATTTTAATTTTTCCAAGTCTCTTGCAGCGCAGTGCAGGGATCCCCACGCACCCGCGGCTGGGATCCCCACGCACCTGCCAACTGACGAGCCAGGCACCCGTCCGCGGCACTAGGAGTAACTGCGACGTCGTCGTACGTCCGTCCTGTTCACGCTGCCACGTCATTAGAAGCTCGTTCAAGTGCTGCCACGTCACCATACGTTCGTTCGATTTGTGTGCTGCCACGTCATCGTTCGCTCGTTCGATTCGTGTGCTGCCACGTCAGCTTTCGGTCACTCGATTTGCGTGCTCCCACGTCATCATTCGTTCGCTGATTGGCAGCAGAGAGGAGGAGGAGGAGGAGGAGGAGGAGGAGGAGGAGGAGGATGGCAACCAGCATGAGCGCTGATGTGGCACCATCTGGGCCGTCGAAGAATTATCCGCCGGAACCGTGGCGGATGCGCGGCAACATGTCGTTGTCCCTATGGCGAGTGCCCAAGCAGAGCCTCCCGGAGGTGCCACCAGGAACCAAGCCCGTGCTCCTTGGGGGCAAGGGTCTCGTCGGGACGGCGTGGGTGGTCTACGGGCCAGGCAGCGCCGTGAGAGTATACAACGAGCTCTTCGCCGGTGTGCTGGTGACGCGGGGGATCTGGCCACGTGTCAACATCCCACAGATATGGGTGGATAGCGTGCCGTCCAACGAGGGAGCGCGGGCATTGTGGGGGGTTCCCAAGGAGATGGGCACCTTCAAGATCTCGGAAAACGCGCGGGAAAATGGGCGGGGGAATGCGCGGGAAACGCGTGCTTCCTTACAGGGCATCGTGTCTGCCACGATGAGCGACCGCCTCTCTCTCCCGGGAAAATGGCCGGTGCGGCTCAAATTTGTGCACTCCCTGCGTGGCATGCTCAAAGACTGTCCCATGGTCGTTCGGTCAAAGCTGACCGTGCGGAACGCTGAATATGACGTGGACAAGTCCGGACCGCTGACGTGGCTGCGGGGAAACCGTCCGTTCTTTACTCTGGGCTTGCCGGACTTCGACATGCTCATCGGCGATAAACCCATCGTGAAAGGAGAGTAGGGGGGCAGTTCTGAGAGAGGCGGGRGGGGGGGGGGGGRAGAGGGGGAGACGCCCCGTGGCGTCTGCTGGGCAGCACAGGGCGCGGCCTCAACGCGAGAACCCACGGGCGGGCTGAGCTCTGCCCTCCTCTTCGTCAATGCCGCACCAGCTTGATTGACAGCGGAGAAGCACGTGGCGCGCGTCTATCGCATGCATGCATGGTCGTCGATGGCGCGCGTCTATCGCATGCATGCATGGTCGTCGATGGCGCGCGTGCATGCATGGTGATTGACTTCATGCATGCATGGTCGTTCATTAGATGTACGCGTGCATGGGAGTAGGACGCTGTGTTTTGCTCATTGATTGAGGACGATGGGATGAACTAGCCTTCATACCGGGCACACCTTGCCGTTCTCCGGTTAAGTGCATTGAATGAACAAGGCAGTCTACGTACGTGCATTGCGTCATTGCATGAACAAGGCTGCATACGTTCGTGTATGATGGCATGAAGAAGGCGATTTGGTACGTACGTGCATCATTGGCTGAAGAAGGCTACGTACGTACGTGCCTTGCATGAAGAAGGACTGGATCGAAGGACGATCAGCTCCATGAGCCATCCAATAAAACGAAGAAAAGAAAAAAGGAAAATCTTCATGAGCTTAGCCTTGGCTTTCTCATCGACGAGAGCCACCAAGCATGAACCTTTTCCGTTTCTCCACGTTTTTTTATTTATGGGGAAGTTTCTCCATTTTAATTGATCTGCTGCTTTGGAAAGAAAAAAAAAAAGAAAAAGGAAAAGAACGACTTCCGGGCTTCGCGTCGGGAGCTTCTTATATCGTCTTTTACTTCGACTCTACGTACGTGGAGATGTCACACCAAAGACAAATTAGCATGCAATACAAGTCGACGTGTCAAACATAGACTGCGTCAACATGGAATTCAGAACGAACCATCCAACAGCAGAGCAAACCACCATCCCTCTCGTCAAGATAGAAACTTGCACATTCTTCCAGCGGCTACCCCTACGCCGCGTTTCGACCGACGTCTCTCTCTCTCTCTCTCTCTCTCTCTCTCTCTCTCTCTCTCTCTCTCTCTCTCTCTCTCTCTCTCTCT